CCACCCCTTCACCCCTTCCCCACAAAGACCGTTGCGCCCTGCTGTGCGCCTTCCGTCCCCACTAGTTTCCACGATGAAACGCGTTTCGCCATGCGCCGAGAGAGTGTGCAGTGCAACCATCGCGTTTGTCCAATAAATAAATCACTCTCCGCAAGTCTCGCACTTCTCTCTACCCCGGTGTACTCGATCGCCCTATACTGGTAGCTTCTTTGCTTTGCGCACAACCACGTTTACTATATCTCGCCTCGTCCATTAGGAATGCCTAGCCGCACGATGGGCGCCTCCCGACTGGGTGAACGGCTCGCAACGCGTTCGCAACGCGTTCCACCCCGTCATCGCCTCCCGTCAATCCATTCTGAAACGTTGCTGGCAGGGAAGTAGCAGCCTTAGTAGGCTAGGAAAACGAGGATAGAGTGCTCTCTGGAGTTCTCTGGAAATTGCACTACGACTTCACAAATTTCACAGTACAATTTTATAGAGCACATTCAAATATCGAGTCGCACTCCCAAGTCGCGACTCTCTCTGAATTTCTCAATGGTAACCCAACCCCTTTGAAATGAACCTGCCGTGAAATTCAGAGAATTATTGCGGTACGGGATTGGACGGCGAGCTTGGTTACGGGGCTGTAATTTCGTCGGTGTTGTTGGCGAAGTCGGCGAGCGGTCGGAACTTCGGTGTTCTGCGTTTCGTAATTTTCGCGCGAGGGTTTGTGTTGGGCTGTGCGTCAGGACCTGGTCGCCCAGCTGCAGGTTGAGGCGTTTGACCAATACGAACAGTTGGTGAGGTGGCGCTTGACTTCCGCCCACCTGCACTGTACTTGGCAGCATTCGGCTGCCACACTGTTACATTACTTCCCCCTCCAAGTGGCGCCGTCTACGGCGCCAAACCGTGGCTGGTCAAATACCGATTCACAGCAGTTGCGGCACGGTCAAGGTGGCTCTCTGGTTCCCATGAGTCGTCACTAGTGGGCTGGTCCTTCCAACGAACAAGAAACTCGCGACCATGAGGTGTGTAGCGATGTGCAGCGATAGATGCAACCTCAAACAGGCCGGGGCTGCCTTCGAACATCGGTGGCAGTTGGCGTGTGGCTGGACGGTCGTGTGAAGGTGCACGGAAAGGGCGGAGGCGCTGGACATGGAAGACGGGGTGAATCTTCATATAGCTGGGCAGTTGGAGACGGTAGGTGACTGGTGAGAGGACTCGGGTGATGGTGAACGGGCCAATAAAGCGAGGGGTGAGTTTTCTGGTTGTGCCTTTGCGTAGGAGAGGTAGGTGGTCAGTGGAGAGTAACACTTGATCGCCAACCTTGAAGCGTATATATTTGCGGTGGGAGTTGGCATAGTGGGTCTGTTTGGCTTGAGCTTTAAGGATGGAGGTGCGAGCGGCATCAATGGCTGATTCGAGTGAGGTGAGGAACTCAAAGGCTGCTGGTGCGTGGGAGAGGTGGGGGGGTGGGGTCGTGGGGAGGCGGGGGTGCTGTCCGGTTGCGAGGTAGAAGGGTGGCTGGCCGGTGGAAAGGTGGGGTGTGCTGTTGTATGCGAGTTCGATGGCGGTGAGGTGGAGATCCCAATCAGTTTGGCGAGCAGTAACTTGTGCACGGAGGGAGTCTTCAAGCGTGCGGTTCATCCGTTCGGTTTGTCCGTCCGTTTCAGGGTGATACGCGGTAGAAAACTTCAGCCGGGTTCCGTGAAGCTTGAAGAGGCTCTGCCAAAAGTTACTCAAGAAGCGGGGGTCACGGTCTGAAATGATGGCGGATGGGAGACCATGTAGGTGGACTATGTGATCGAAGAAGAGTCGGGCTGTTTCGGGTGCGGTGACGGTTGTGTGGGTAGGAATGAAGTGGCTCATTTTGGAGAGTCGGTCGACGACGACTAGGATAGCGTTGTAGCGTTGTAGCTGCGGTAGTCGATGCAAAGGCGCAGGTCACCTTCCTTCTTGCGGGTGAAAAGCACGGGGGCAGCGTATGGTGAGGTGCTTGGGCGGATGAAACCCTTCTCGAGAAGGTCATCGAGTTGACGTCGGAGCTCCAAAAGTTCAGCGGTGCTCATGCGATAGGTTGGGCGCACGGGCGGTGTAGAACCTGGAATGAGGCGGATGCTATGGTCAATAGCACGCTCGGGTGGAAGTTCGGCGGGAAGATCTTCGGGGAAGACGTCGGTGTAGCCTTGGAGTAACTTCTGTATAGGTGATGGGAGAGAGTTGGGTGATGGTTCAGATTCGGGAGCGGTGAAGATGACTAGGAGATGATGAGGAGGAGGTGGTGATGGAGGGGTGGGGGCTGATGGATTGATAACTTCAGAGGCGGGGCGGATGATGGGATGTCGTGGCTGCTGGGTTGGGTGGGGTGGAGAAGGAGGAGGTGTGTTGATCACTTCGGGGGAGCCGGGTGGTGTTGGCTGCTGCACGGGAGCTATGCGAGGAGGAGGGAGAGGGGGGATATGGGAAGATGGAGATGGGGCAGGTTGGGGTGGATGGGTTGATGAAGCGGAACTGGTTGGGGATGACCATGGTCGGCGAAAGGAGTGGGATGGGAGGTCGTAGTTGCCGACGGTGACAGTTCCGTTGCGCCAATAAATCCGCGGTCCAAACTGGTGCAACCATGGTCGACCGATAACGCCTTCGTACCCGCCGAGGTGCAGTTGCTCGAATGTGACCGTCGCCTCCAAGCTTCCAAACATGCAATGCACAGGGAGGAGAGTAGGTCCGCAGCGCCGCCGAGTACCATCTGCCATGATCACGTCCTGCGGGTTGCTGTTGGGATCTTCGGGGAGAGAAAGTTCAGCAGCAATTGAGGGAGAGAGGAAATTTGCCGAAGCGCCGGTATCGAGCAAAAATTCAACGTAGCGATTCTTTATTTTTGCGTATAGAATGATGGCGGGGAATGGAGCGTTGGATGTGGTGTAGAGTTCAGAGGTGCCGATGAATAATGGAGTCGGGAGAAGCGGGGCATGCGATGCGCCAGAGGTCTGCCCCACTGCTACTGGCGCTGTCCGTTTCCCGGAGACCTTTCGAAGTTGCGGTGGTTCGGGCAATGTCGCTTGATGTGGCCGACTTTCCCGCACGAGTAGCACGTAAGCGTGGACTGGTTGCGTGCACGCTGTTCCACCACACCGAGCTCCATGGGAGAAGGACCGTTGGTGCAGTAGGTAGGTCCAGCAGTGGTGTGCTGCCCGGTTCGTCCTTGGAATCGCTGGTATGCTGCAAAGTTGATGGTGTCAAAACGCTCGGCGACACGAATCATCTCATCCAACGTCGTAGCGCCGCGGAGTTCGACCTCGGTGCGGATTTTCGGCTTCAGCCCACGCTTGAATTTGTCCATCTGTTCAGCAGCAGGGATGTCAGGGATCTCAAGCACGAGCTCGCGGAAGCGGTTGATGTACTCAGCGACCGAGCGATGTTGGCGTAATTCAGCGAGGTTGTCACGTGCGCGCTCGATGGAGTTGACCGGCTCGAAGTTCATTAATAGTGATGCAGAAAACTCTTCCCAAGTTGAAATCGTAGCATGGCAACTCTGCCACCAAGTAGCAGCTGCACCCCTCAGCATCATGCCGGCGTGCCGAGCCCACTCCGCCCGGTTGACATGACAAAGGGAGAGGTATTCCTCCACTTGGAAAAGCCACCGTCGCACCGGTAAGTGACGTTTTCCAGGGATGAACGGCTCAGGTTCGGGTGCTTTGGGTCGTGCAGAAACCACAGCAGGTGCTGGCGTCGGCACCTGTGTGCCCAGGAGTCCACGTTCCTGGAGTTCGCCGAGGATCCGGTCACGCACCTCGCGTTCAATTTCTCGGCGCATATTCGCCACAAATTCGTTCCAGAGTTCCGGCGTCATATCAGACGGTCCGGCCATAGGGTCTAGAATATGGCGGGAGCGTGCGAAATAACTAACCAGGCTCTGATTACCAGTGAAACGTTGCTGGCAGGGAAGTAGCAGCCTTAGTAGGCTAGGAAAACGAGGATAGAGTGCTCTCTGGAGTTCTGTGGAAATTGCACTATGACTTCACAAATTTCACAGTACAATTTTATAGAGCACATTCAAATATCGAGTCGCACTCCCAAGTCGCGACTCTCTCTGAATTTCTCAATGGTATAGGATTGGACGGCGAGCTTGGTTACGGGGCTGTAATTTCGTCGGTGTTGTTGGCGAAGTCGGCGAGCGGTCGGAACTTCGGTGTTCTGCGTTTCGTAATTTTCGCGCGAGGGTTTGTGTTGGGCTGTGCGTCAGGACCTGGTCGCCCAGCTGCAGGTTGAGGCGTTTGACCAATACGAACAGTTGGTGAGGTGGCGCTTGACTTCCGCCCACCTGCACTGTACTTGGCAGCATTCGGCTGCCACACTGTTACGCATTCGCCCTGCCCCATCATGACGAAAGTCGCCACACCCTTGATCTACTCCTTGGCGCTGCCCCGACCCCGTCGCCTGGTCCTAAGCTCCACTAAATGCGCGAGTCCGCTGGCGCCGAGGCCCCTCAGGGTCCCCGTCGCCTGGTCCTAAGCTCCACTAAATGCGCGAGTCCTCCGGCGCCGAGGCCCCTGAGTTTCCTCTCTTTCCCCCTTGTCCCCCTTTCCGCCACGGAACACGTTACATGATCCGCGAGTAGATTACTACGAGCAAATCAGAATGTGTGACTGCTCGCTCGCTCGCCGCGGTTCACCGCTCGCTCATAAATTGACGCCGCTCCCGAGGGCTCATTTATCACGTTCTCCCGCCCCTCCTCGCTCATAGCGTGCCTTTCCTTCCTCTCCTCGGTCAAACATTCTCAGTCGCACTTTCGAGATCTCACCGATCTCTCCTCGTCGCGAATACCAGCGCATAGTACCACGTCGGCCGTGAGTCCCGGCAGTTCAACTCGTCCCCGCAGCTTCTAGTCGCCACCCCGGCATCATCGCCATTCCCGTCTTCCGCATTCATCGCGAATCGGTTTCCCCGAGTCTCAGCAGTTCTACCAGGTCCTACGTGTAGTAAGTCGATTTCGGAGTCGACTCAAAAATCGTCTTGGCGGCTCAACTCGGTCCTGCAGCTTCTCGCCATCCCGGCATCATCAGCTTCGCGATCCCGCGATTCCTCATTTCGAAACGCCGGTTTCGGTTTCCCCCTGGCCGTCCGCCGCTGCCGCCATGAAGCCCTGCGCGCGCCTGTCCGGCCTGTGCGGCCTCGCCGCTTTCCTCGCGGGTCTCGTGACCATCATCAGCCTCCCCGCGACCCACGCCAGCGATGACCGTGGCCCACAGCTTGGTGAGTAGGCTCACTGCCACACACCACTGGCAGTAGGCTTGCACCACTGGCAGTAGGCTTGCACCACTGGCAGTAGGCTTGCACCACTGGCAGTAGGCTTGCACCACTGGCAGTAGGCTTGCACCACTGGCAGTAGGCTTGCACCACTGGCAGTAGGCTTGCACCACTGGCAGTAGGCTTGCACCACTGGCAGTAGGCTTGCACCACTGGCAGTAGGCTTGCACCACTGGCAGTAGGCTTGCACCACTGGCAGTAGGCTTGCACCACTGGCAGTAGGCTTGCACCACTGGCAGTAGGCTTGCACTACTGGCAGTAGGCTTGCACCACTGGCAGTAGGCTTGCACCACTGGCAGTAGGCTTGCACCACTGGCAGTAGGCTTGCACCACTGGCAGTAGGCTTGCACCACTGGCAGTAGGCTTGCACCACTGGCAGTAGGCTTGCACCACTGGCAGTAGGCTTGCACCACTGGAAGTAGGCTTGCACCACTGGCAGTAGGCTTGCACCACTGGCAGTAGGCTTGCACCACTGGCAGTAGGCTTGCACCACTGGCGTGCGGGTGAGTGCCAGTTGAAAATCACTTTTGAAAAAAACTTAAAAGTGCTTGTTGAGAAATTTCTTTCAAGTGTCTGTATCTCCTGCCCCTGCTTGACTCATTCCACCACTTCTGTGCAGGAACGTGTGCCACGTGGCGCTGGGGCTGTGGGAAGGATGCCACGTGCAATGATGATGATATCGTTGTCGGGTGCATCTGCAATGATAAGACTCTTACCTACAATTACGACACCATGACGTGTGATGGTAAGTGTGCTTTTGAGTCGCCTTAGAGGACGCTACATGCAATGATGATGATGATAATGATAATACTCTTACCTACAACAACGGCACTATGAAGTGTGATGGTGAGTGTGCGTGTGTGGGTGAGTGTGCGTGTGTGGGTGAGTGTGCGTGTTTGGGTGAGTGTGCGTGTGTGGTTGAGTGCGCGTGTGAGTGCAAGTGTGCGTGTGAGGGCGAGGTTGCATGTGTGGCGTTCACAGTTCCACCCATCTAACCCGCATTAACCACTTCACCCCGAAACCACCTATGACTTTCTCTGCAGACGCGTGTGTCGGCCGGGACTGCGGGTTAGAGGCGTCGTGCATTGGCACGGGTGCTCCCATTCCTCCGTGTGTGTGCAACAATAAAGGCTTTATCTTTGTCCAATCTGACAAGACATGCTTCGGTGAGTCTGCTTTTGAGTCGACTCCAAAGCAGGCGTCGTGCATTGGCACGGGTGCTCCCATTCCTCCATGTGTGTGCAACAGTAAAGGCTTTACCTTTGTCCAATCTGACAAGACGTGCTTTGGTGAGTGCTGCTAGTGGTGTGTTCTGCTACCGGTGAGCTGTAGGCGATGCCTCTCTTGAGATTGAGACACGTCAGCATCTCAGTAGTTGCGCATTAGGCAGCGCTGGGAGGCACTGCTGTCGAGGCAGCGCTTGGAACGTTGACCCCTTCTCACTCCTCCCGCACCTTCCCCTTCTGTCCGCCCCTTACCTCTCCTTTGCCCTGCCCTGCCTCCAACTCCCCGCCTTCAAACCTCCACCGTTCGTTGCACAATCTCCAACGGCCACGACTTGCCACCGTCTCAACGGACGCTCAGCCCCGTTGGTGCGCACGTCGGTGCAGATCAAAGGCCTCTTCAGCCCGCTCATGAACGTCACCTTCTCCACGGACGGGCCAGCAGAGCAGCAGGCAAGCGGCACCACGGCGTGCAGCAACGTGGGGCAGAAGATCTACAGCGAGACCGACATCACCATCGTATGGAACGCAACTAACCCAGCCGCCAATCCCACCTCAAACCCAAACTCACCCTCGCTGCAAGACGCCGCGGCTGGCGCTGCCATGTGCAAGAGCCTGTCGTTCTACTCGGGGCTGTGGTGCGAGGAGGATGTGGAGTTGACTCTCGCGCGTCCTCGTCCCATGAAGCGCGGTCGTGCCACTGCGTACCCCGTCACGAAAAAGTGAGTGAGTTTTGAGACGTCTCAAAAACACCCTCGTTTGACGCGCCTGGCACCGCCATGTGCAAGAGCGTGTCGTTCTACTCGGGCCTGTCGTTCTACGTGGAGCTGACGCTCGCGCGCCCGCGTCCTCTTCCTACCCGTGTCACTGCCCACCCCATCACGAACAAGTGAGTTTTGGGACGTCTTAACACGTCCTGCAATGCGCAGCCGTGTCACTGCCCACCCCATCACGAACAAGTGTGTGAGCGCGATGCACGCGGCATGTGTGGTTTGTTGCTGCTCTGCTCTTCCAGCATATTGTGCGACCCTCTTCTATCACCGGAATTCGCTTCACCGTTTGTCGCGCACAGTGTATGTCCTCACTCGCACTCAATGCATGTCTTCCCCATCCTTACCTCTCCCTCTCTCAGGTATATCAAAGACGTTTATTTGGTGCAATCAGTTGGCTGCGAGATCAGTAAGTGCAAGCGCATGCATGCATATCTAGACTGTGTCACGTACATATTATGAATGATCTTACAAGCTACCGTACAATAGAGCGAGACACACCCAACCTCTTTGTCCATGATTCTTTCCTTCGCTCCTATCTTCTGCATATCAGACAGTAGCATGTGTTCTGCTTATTCTTATGGCTACCATAAGTTAAAGCGCGACTCACCCACCCTCTTTGCCCGTGATTCTTTCTCCACCTCCCTGTGCCTGAAAACCTTTTTTCTTACCCCTTTCCTCCATATGTCTGGTTTGTTTGTCCCTATGTGGTGCTGCCCACAACAGCCACGTGCCACAAGGATTGTGGAGCTGCTGAGTGCGTGGTGAAGGACGGCCAGCAGCAGTGCCAGTGCCCCGAGGGCTTTGTGTTCAACGCAGCCAAGAAGACCTGCCGCGCTCCTCCTCCTCGTAGGTGCCTTGCTCGTCTATTGTGGGTTGTAGGTTTGCCTTTGCCAACAATAGAACACCAGCTTGGGCAACAGTTCTTGCATGCAATATGAAAGGCCATCTGCCAGTGTTACCCGCTCGCTCTCATTCTCCCCGCCTGCTGCCAACTCAGCCTCATGCTCTCTCCCTTATCCCCTCTCCCCTATCCCCTCTCCCCTCTCCCCCACCCTCCACCTGCCATCAACGCCAGCCAAGTGCAGGCCTGCCTGCACTGGTAATGCCCAGTGCAAGTGGGTCGGAGGAAAGCCGTTGTGTCAGTCGAAATGGTGAACAAGATGTGCACATGTAAGAGGGAGAGGGATAACTGCTTGCTCTGCTTTGTACCTTGCTCTCTTCCAAGCCGCTGCAGCTAGCTTATCCACTCCCACCACCTCCACTGCCCAGATACAAATTGTGAGGCGCCTCAAGAATCACCTCCACCCCCCAGTGAGACCCAATAACAACCTGCGTGTTACTTTCTGATCTTCCTTGTAGTGTCTGCATTCTGCCTTGCTCTCTTCCAGGCCGCTGCAGCTAGCTTATCCACTCCCTCCACCTCCATTGCCCAGACACACCCATGAACAACCCACTTGTCACTTTCTGATCTTCCTTGTATCGTCTGCTTTCTCACCTCACTTGTTAGTTACGCTGTTGCCTGCCCTCCATTTGCCCCCTCTCTTTGCAACGAACGCAGGGAGCTTATTTATGATCAAGTTCAAGATGAAGGAGCTGCTAGACAAGGGAAGGCACGACAGGCAACCCAGTTTTGAGGCGCCTCAAAACAGGGAGCTTTTTTCATGATCAAGTTCAAGATGAAGGAGCTGGTAGACAAGGGAAGGCACGACAGGCAACCCTTGCTCATCATGAAGGAGGCAGAAGCTGGAAGTGCCAGCAGGATACCGAATGGTGGGGGGGGGGGCTGATGGAGCAAAGGTGCGAGCAACTGCATGCGGTTGCTCGGAGGCCAGGAACCAATGTGGCTGACGGTTGGCCAAGTCACTCTGTGTGTGTGGTACCGATAGTAGGAGTGGCATTACAAGTGTGTGTAGGTAGGTGCTGGTCTGTTGTACCATGTGGTGTGGACTTCTTTTTACTCGTTTGTTATACCTCTTGGGCTTTTTTGTTTGTGTTTTGTACTGCAATCCACTTTTTTGCTAATTTATGTATGCCTGGTTTTTTACTAGTAAGCACATCGATTGGACTACACTGGTATTACAAGCCGCCAAGCTGCTGAAGAGTGGTCGAAACCATGTACCGCACAGCTGTGACTACCGCACAGCTGTGACTAAATGAATGTGTGATTACAAGTGAATGAAGGCCTAGCAGGCTGGCACCCAGAGGTGGCATATCCAGGTTGTGTGCCTTGTTAGACACAGCCTGTGTCTTGTGCGGCGAGGCCGCACAAGTGAAGGCCTGGCGCCCGGGGCAGGGAGTGGTATGTCCAGGTTGTGTGTCTTGTTAGAAATAGGTTGCAGCGGGCTCAGTCAAGATGTAGAGTGATACCAGTACTGCCTTTGGTGGTAGCTGTTTTTGTTCTTTATATTTATGCTTTACACCCCAAAATCCCTCCCCCCGAATGCAAGTATTCAATCAGAGATAGAAGGCACACACACGAACATACGGTACACACACAAATAACCAAGCTACCGTAATCCCCCGGATAAAAGACCCCCCTATAATAATGTACCCGGGTCTTTAATACGGGGGGGGGGTATATTATTCAAGACTGTTTTCCTTATACCCCCCAATTGGGGTGAAATCATTACAAGACCCCCCCCAACCATAAAATTGTTTTTTAGAGGCTAATTCATGTCAATTAAGCAAGTAGTGGCACACGTTCGGCCATAGGAGTCACAAAACACAATCAAGGCAGCCTCTCAACACCAACCACCTTGGAATCCGCCCCCGCCTTGCTACTCATCTTCGTCACCCGCCACCCACTCCTCTACATCTGCCCCCTCATAGTGACCAGGGGCCCACCATTCATCCCCGTCGTCACTCCACTCGTCAGCTTCGCTCGTGTTTCCATGGTCAGAGTCGCTCGAGTCTGACTTAGCAGGTACTGACTCCTCATCGGCCTCCTCTGCTTCAGCGGCTAGCACGGCCTCCTCCTCCATCTCGACGGTCACATCGGGAGGGGTGACCACGGGGGCCGGGTAGAACAGGTTGGGGACCAGTTCATCCTGCTCCTCCTCCATCACGTCTTCCAGCACCTCCACCTCGCCGGAATCCCGCATGTGCGCCAGGATCAGATGATCCTGGCTCCCGTCCTCTGCATTGGAGATGCCGCAGGTGAGGAATGCTTTCCTCACCATCTCCTCGGGAACGTCGGCCCACGACTCGTCAATCCACTTCAGGACGAGTTCGGCCGGCGGTTTCTTCAGGTTGCCTGCGGTTTGGGGCCAAGGAAAAGGGATTGGAGGGTGTATGGTTGAGTGATTCGTATGTTCTAACACCGACAACACGCCCCCATTGCTTCATACACGGGCTTACCTGCGCGTTGTGCTTGTGATACCGTCCTCCTCGAACCAGTTGCCGTAGCGGTGGCGGACGCCCGCCTTGAAGGCACGGTTGATAGACACGTCAAGCGGTTGCACAAGCGGTATGCAACCGCCTGGGATCACCGCGCGTGTCAGCCTGAAGAGACGCATAGTCTGGCCGACACGTTCGGTGAGATGCCCTCGATATGAGTCCAGGACGAGGAGGACGTCCTTCCGCCTGCCCCCCTCGTCCCGCAGGGGCCGCATGAAGGGGACGATGACTTGGGTAGTCCAGTCCTGGACGAGGTCCTCGTCCATCCATCCCCGTGCCTGTGCACGGATAACGACGCCTGCACACCGCATGATGCATGTCAGTCGCATGTACAGGGGTCCTAGTAACATGCGCAACGGCAATAATGACTCACCTCGCGGAACGACGACTTTCGGGATTGTCTTGCGCTTGAACACCACATACGGTGGCAACTTCAAGCCGCTCGCCGTCACCGCCAGCATAACGGTGAGGCGCTCCTTCTCGTAACCTGCGGTACGGACGTGCACGGTGCGCACCCCCTTCATCTCCAATGTGCGTTCCTGCGGCATCTCCAGGAAGAGCGGCGTCTGATCAGCGTTAACGATCAGACTGGTGGGGTAGGAGTTCAGGACTTGCATCTGCCGAACAAACTCCCAGAATGATTCCACCTTGGCCTTCAAATCTGCAAGGAGAGAGAACATACAAATTGTCAGTCGCGGAACAACATCGATTACACAAACGAGACCGGTTTCCGCGTGCAAATATAGCGTCACGGCAAAGGGACTCACTGTCAGCCAGCTTTTGCCCCATCTTTGTCTTGACACGCTTTGCCAAGGACCACCGCACGCGGAAACGGAAAGTCCAATGGTTAGACCCGCGCCAGTCGGCCTGAGGGTGTCGGTGCTTCATGTACTGCCGCGACCACTTCTGAAGCATGCTCACAGAGACGGCCAGACCCTTGGCACGGTGCGCCAAAAACTGACGGTAGACGGCCCGCTCCATGAAAGGCCACTTGGCCTTACGGCCTGCGCCAACGAGGCGACGACGACACGTGGCTGAAACAAGGAGTCGCTCCTTCAATTTCCGCCATTCGCGAATCTGCTTCGGTTGCACGTTAGCTAGCCGCGCCAACCCCCTAATGCTGAGATCGGGCTGCGTGTCTAGCATATCCAGCCAGTACAGCTTCTCCCTCGCCGTGTACGCATGCCGCGCCTTCTTCGTGATATGGTGGCGAGGCGAGGAGGGGGGCGCTGCATCCTGTACCTTCTTCTTCTTGCCTTGCGGACGTGACGACTGCGGAAATACGGGGACACAGACTGTGGGAAGGGGGGCCCGTGGGGTACTGCTGCTCTGAGAAGTCTCACTCGAAGACGGTCCTGGCGTGGGCAGCACAGGACGCGGCGTAGTCCTAAAATGAGCAGGTTGACGGACGTTTTTTGCACGAGGGCGACGGGATTCTGACGTGCCTGAATCGGGCGTTGACACCATGGTGACACTGTTTTCCTGCCTAATGCTATGCCTGACATTCTTCGCGCTATGAATTTAATCTGTCGTGGTAGTCCCACTATGCTAGACTCTGCCGAGCTGCGCTCCCCATTGCACAGAGATGGGTTCGTTCCCTGGCGGTGTCGAATTCGCTTGTGCACGAGACGGGACAGAGAGAGCGCGACTCTGTGCTGAGAGCCTCACGTAGCATGCAAGGGATGAGACGTCCGAGGCGGCCTGACACAAAGCATTGAATATGGGCCAATGAGCATGAAGCATTCAGATGCTTCATGGATTGTGCCCGGTTTCTCGGCTCAGGACATTCCCGAGGGTTTTCCTTGTTAAAAAAACGCAAATCTGGATTACAACACCCTAGCATTTCATTATATTTTAAAAAACATAGCACTTCCTATAAGACCCGGGTCTTATAGGTTTTTTACCCTTTAATAAGACCCCCCACATTTTTTTGTGAAATCAATAACAGCCCCTAGGGTCTTTTATCCGGGGGAATACGGTAGTACACAAAGGATGGCTAGCAAATCTTCCAACATACGGTAATTAAACTCAAACTCTATGCTACAACAAGCCAACCAAGCATGTACCATAATCTCATCCTCAGTGCATGTACTAAATGAAACTGCTGCCAACCAAATTGGTCCCCTCCCCTTTCCTGGCCTCCGAGCAACCGCATGCAGTTGCTCGCACCTCTCCTCCATCAGCCCCTGCCAGTCTGATGTCCCTCTGGCGCTGCCAGCTTGCACCTCATTGCCCCCTGCCCATCAACCCCATAAACCCCTTTGTAGTGAACTCGTTCAGCTCTCTGAGTGGCAAAGGGAGGAAGAAAGGGAGGGCGGGCCACAAAGAAAGCAGTCACATGAAGCTGATGATGAAACGGGGTGATAAGCTACGGGAGCAAGATTTGGATGGTGGTGGAGTGGAGGTGTAATGCAACGGGATAAGAATGTAGGGTGACAGTGGTGTGGAGCTAATGGAAGATACTGCATACTTCACCCTTTTCCCCTCCCCCTTCTGTTCCTTACAAGTGCACTGGTTGATATAATCCCTTCGATACCCCACCTTGCACTGACATGCCGCCTTTCCTCCCACCACCTTGCACTGCGCATTGGCAGGGCAGCCACCCTGGCACACGGCTGCCACATGTGATGGGGAAAGCGCGTTAGAGGGAAGATTGTAAGTCAGTGAGCGAGGAAGAGATGCGGGTGTACCAGCAATTCTAGATGACCAAAATACAGCAGGCAGGTTGCACATTGGGGGACAAGCTTGAAAGTGAAGGTTGTGGTGTGGTGGAGGTGCATGTCAGTTGAGGTCCCTTACGTGTGCACTTGTTGTTATTCACCATCCGGAACCCCCCCTTGCACTGACATGCCGGCTTTCCTTTCACCGCCTTGCACTCCACATTTGCAGGGCAGGCAGTGTTGCATTCAGCTGCCACATGAGGTAGGTGGAGGGGTAGAGGGGTGGAAGGGAAGGGAAGAGTTTGGGGAATGTGTGGGAAACAGCTGGAGGGCATACAAAGGGAGTAGATGGCAAGGATGTGTCATGCAGGTATTTCATGGGTGCATGTGAGTGGAGGAGACAATCGGATACGTCAAACTGATGTGCACGGAAAGAAAATCCCTCCCTCTCACTTACGTTTGCACTTCCCCTTCACCATTTTGAAACCTTTCTTGCACTGACATGCCGCCTTTCCTCCCTCCACCGTGCACTGCGCATTCACAGGGCAGGCCCGCTTGCACACGGCTGACATAGGTGGGAGGAGGGTGGGGGTTGGGGGAGGGAGGAGAGAGTATGAGCTGACTGGGGTTAGCAGAGGGGAAAATGAGAAGAAGTGGCTTGGAAGGAGGAGGGGCACGAAGAGGCCACAGAACCCCCACAAGCACTGAATGGAAGGTAGACTCACTGTGAACACATGCACTATCTCTAAACACAGGATTAACTCTTGATCTCTTGACCTCTTGGTTACCAGCCTTTGAAACACAGCCCTGGGTGAGCTCACCAGTGCAGAGGCCGCTCCTCTTGGTGTAGCCGGCGTCACACTCGCAACACGCCTTTCCGTCTCTCACAACGCACTTGGAGTTCCTGGCGCACTTGAGTGTGCCCCTCTTACAAGGGTCTGCCGCTGCCAAGGGTGGAGGAAACGAGTTAGTTAGGGGAAGGAGTTAGCATCGGTCTAACTGGACATCTAAGGTAATTTCTCTTTCAGACTATATTTTCAAACATGCAACAAGAGACAAAGACACCTACCAGGAGTGTAGTAGGCATGGCTGCAATTCTTCTTGGCCTCGTTGAACACGAGGCCCCAGGGGCACTTGCACTGGGCCTTGCCCTCCTCCACAACGCACTTCGCAGTTCCGCAATCCTTGAAACACGTGGCTGTTGGTGGGACAGTTGTGGGGACCTCAGACGGGGCAGTTGTGGGGACCTCAGATGGAGCTGTTGTGGGGACCTCAGACGGGGCAGTTGTGGGGACCTCAGATGGAGCTGTTGTGGGGACCTCAGACGGGGCAGTTGTGGGGACCTCAGATGGAGCTGTTGTGGGGACCTCAGACGGGGCAGTTGTGGGGACCTCAGATGGAGCTGTTGTGGGGACCTCAGACGGGGCAGTTGTGGGGACCTCAGATGGAGCTGTTGTGGGGACCTCAGACGGGGCAGTTGTGGGGACCTCAGATGGAGCTGTTGTGGGGACCTCAGACGGGGCAGTTGTGGGGACCTCAGATGGAGCTGTTGTGGGGACCTCAGACGGGGCAGTTGTGGGGACCTCAGATGGAGCTGTTGTGGGGACCTCAGACGGGGCAGTTGTGGGGACCTCAGATGGAGCTGTTGTGGGGACCTCAGACGGGGCAGTTGTGGGGACCTCAGATGGAGCTGTTGTGGGGACCACTGAAGGGGCTGCTGTGGGAAAGGGGTAGACCACAGGTGGATAACACAGACGAAAAACCACAGGAGGGGCAACAAGTTACACGATACTTAATCAAAATACTAGAAAACAAGTGACACATGATTTTGGGAAACAAAAAGATGGAGAAACAATCCCAAACATATGAAGTGAGTGGGTAAGGGAACAATCAAGGTGGCATGAGGAGGCAGATAAGTGTCTTGCTTCTCTGTCTTTCTTACCCAGTCTCAAAACCCAGCACCCACCCACCGCACCCACCAACCCACACTCAAGAACGCACCCCCCACACTCCTTCACCCACCCACCCACACTCCAGCTCTCACCATTGCACTCACCACGCGTCTGGAGGGGAACTCGTGGTGGATTCAATGTATAGTTGGGCAAGGAAGATGTGAAAGGGACTACGGTTATGAATCGTGTGCACTAACGCACACTCCAGCACCACCCACACTCCAGCACCACCCACACTCCAGCACCACCCACACTCCAGCACCACCCACACTCCAGCACCACCCACACTCCAGCACCACCCACACTCCAGCACCACCCACACTCCAGCACCACCCACACTCCAGCACCACCCTCAATCCAGCACCACCCACACTCCAGCACCACCCACACTCCAGCACCACCCACACTCCAGCACCACCCACACTCCAGCACCACCCACACTCCAGCACCACCCACACTCCAGCACCACCCACACTCCAGCACCACCCACACTCCAGCACCACCCTCAATCCAGCACCAACCACACTCCAGCACCACCCACACTCCAGCACCACCCACACTCCAGCACCACCCTCACTCCAGCACCACCCACACTCCAGCACCACCCACACTCCAGCACCACCCACACTCCAGCACCACCCACACTCCAGCACCACCCACACTCCAGCACCACCCACACTCCAGCACCACCCACACTCCAGCACCACCCACACTCCAGCACCACCCACACTCCAGCACCACCCACACTCCAGCACTCCTTCACAGTCCAGCACCTCGCATATTTTCCAGTAAGCACCCACACTGCAGCACTCCCCCACACTGCACCACTCCCCCACACTGCACTCACCAGCAATGCACGTGTAGTCAGCTTGTTGGAAGACGAAGCCCTCGTCGCACCGGCATTGGGCAGTGTTATCATCCTTCAAGACACAGCTAGCTTCCCCGCAGTACGTGTGATGACTAGAACACATGTCTGCGGGGGAAATCATGAGTTTTTTCCGAGGTGAGGCAGGGAAAGTTGGTTCGTAGAGGGGAAAAACAACTAATGAGAGTGGATTTAGCCGCTGTGCCCCACCACTCACCTACCCTCCAACACTCACCCACACTTCACCACTCACCCACACTCCACCACTCACCCTCACTCCACCACTCACCCACACTCCACCACTCACCCACACTCCATCACTCACCCACAATCCACCACTCACCCAAACTCCAACCCTCACCCACACTCCAACACTCACCCACACTCCAACACTCACCCACACTCCAACACTCACCCACACTCCAACACTCACCCACACTCCAACACTCACCCACACTCCACCACACCCACACTCCACCACTCACCCGCACTCCACCACTCACCCGCACTCCACCACTCACCAACAAAACACTTCTTGGTAACTTCATCAAGGCGAGAGCCTTTTTTGCACCAGCACTCGGGCTTGCGATCCTCATTCTCAAAGCAGATGCCATCCCCGCACTCCACTCCGGTACATACAGCGGGAACCTCTGGTTCTGAACGTGAAGCAGCAGGGAAGGGAAAAGGCCCGGGGGTTAGAAGAACATACAGTTTGCTAACAAACAATTCACTCACCCGCCCACACTTGCACTCTCACCCACACTCACCACCACCACTGCACGTCCCGTCCTCCTCGTTGAATCGAGAGAAATCATAGCACCGGCACTTAGCGCTGCCATCGGCATAGTCAAAGCAGAAGGCGTCGTCCCCACAGTTCTTCCCAGCACACGCCTCTGCAGAGCAAGTCAAGGGGTTGTTGTTGCAGTGCAAGGTGGGGGAGGATTTTTTAGTAAACTCAAAGATTGGCTCATCACAAGCAGAAGGCGTCGTCCCCACAGTTCTTCTCACCACACGCCTCTGCAGAGGAAGTCACGGGGTTGTTGCAGTGCAAGGTGGGGGAGAAAAAGGGGTTAGTAGAAGAGCGGAGACTTTGCTAACGAACGATGCACTCACCCACACTCAAGCTCTCCCCCAGACTCCAGCATTCACTCATACTGCGCTCACCCACACTCAAGCTCTCCCCCAGACTCCAGCATTCACTCATACTGCGCTCACCCACACTCAAGCTCTCCCCCAGACTCCAGCACTCACCACTAACGCACGTGGCGTCCTCGCACTGGCTCACGCGCTTGCCACCCAGACAAGGTGACTTTATTAGTCGACTCAAAAGCAACCAGACTCCAGCACTCACCACTAACGCACGTCCCGTCCAGCTCATCGAACACAAGAAGACCATCCTCGCACTGGCACACGGGCTTGCCATCAGGACCCTCAATGCAGTACGCTTCGTCCCCACAGTTCTCGTCCGCGCACACGTCTGCAGAGCAAGCAAGTCAAGGAAAAGGCAAGTGCTGAAAGTGACGGCACCGTGCTTGAAGCAAGTCAAGGAAAAGGCAAGTGCTGAAAGTGACGGCACCGTGCTTGAAGCAAGTCAAGGGTTGTTCCGATCAGAGGTGGGTGGGAGAGGGAAAGGGCGTTAGAAGAGTGGATGGTTTACTAACGGACGGTGCAGTCATCCCACACTCAAGCTCTCACCCACACTCCAGTGGGCTGTCATCATGAAGTTGACTTTCGACTCAACTCAAAAGTCAACTCAAGCTCTCACCCACACTCCAGTGGGCTGTCATCATGAAGTTGACTTTCGATTCAACTCAAAAGTCAACTCAAGCTTCCACCCACACTCCAGTGGGCTGTCATCATGAAGTTGACTTTCGACTCAACTTAAAAGTCAACTCAAGCTCTCACCCACACTCCAGTGGGCTGTCATCATGAAGTTGACTTTCGACTCAACTTAAAAGTCAACTCAAGCTCTCACCCACACTCCAGTGGGCTGTCATCATGAAGTTGACTTTTGACTCAACTCAAAAGTCAACTCAAGCTCTCACCCACACTCCAGTGGGCTGCCATGTCTTTTCCGTGGCAGGGGTGGGCGGCAGCCATCCAGCACTCACCAGCGCCGCTGGCTGGGGTCGCGAGGAGGCTGAGTGCAACGAGTCCCGCCACGAGTGCGCCCAAGCCAACGCCAACGCCAACGGCAGACCGGCGCTTGGAGCGTTCCATCTCGACGACGGGTGACGGATGGGGAAGCAGGGAGACGGAAATCAACGGTCACGGCGCGATGGGGAAAGGCAGCTTCTTGCAAGTCAGCGGTTCGAACCGTTGGGACTCACGCTCGTATTTGCGGCGAGGAGGACTGGGTGGGAGTTCGAAAGGTGCGAGCTCAGGAGGAGGAGACGAAAGCACGTAACCATCGGGAAGTGGCTTGAGAATGTGATTACTGCTTCGGAAGGGGGAGTCGATATATTTTCTGAGAGTGTGGTGCGCACACTGATTCATTTTCCCCATTATTCAACTGTTCTACCGCTGTGGACTCGCGGAATGTGAAGCGTTTCGTCGCGGAATGTGACGCGTTTAGTTTCCGCAATTGCGGAAAGATGAGGCGCGTGCCACGCGGAGGGAGAGACTCTCTATTTTCGTCAGAAAGGGGATTTTCGTCATAATGGAACGTGCAAGGGAGAAACGGACGGGGCATGATGGGAAGAAAGACTAGCGTTTGGACGAGGCGGGATTGAGACTCCGCAACGGGGCTTAGGGCGAAAAGGCTTCCGCCTCGTACCAATCGCGCGCTCGCGCACGTCAGAGTGAGTATTCGGAAACTTAGCGCTGCGTTATCTCTCGCGCATTACCTCTCGCGCATTATTGCTGCGAGAGATAATGCAGGAATGAAACAAGGCTGTGAACGCGTTTCACATGCCTCGTCGAATGGGGGGGAGATGGTCTGAGTTTGGCTGTCAGAGTTCAAAAGCGGTTGCGATCTTTTGCGAGCGTTTGCTAAAGGCCCAGTAACATTTGTTAGCCCAGCGGACCAATGTTCGCCCAAGCCGAAGCACCTCGGCGACCTTCGCAGGCAAACTTGGTCACACAGAGCCGAACGCGTTCCCTGCCAATGCACAACGGAAGGCTGTGAACGCGTTTGGCTTGCCTAGTCCATTGGGAAGGAAATGGTCAGAGCATACCTGTCTGAGTTGGCAAGCGATTGCGATTTCTGCTAGCTTTTGCGATAAGACTCTGAAGCGTTTGTTAGCCCATTTCGGCCAAGCCGACACACCTCGGCGAGGGAAATCGCTCCATGTCGCCGGCTAACTTGGTCACACGGAGGCCCAACGCGTTCCTGTCAGAATATTATGCTCTAGCCTGTAGTGGGGTGCTCTATAGCGAGTACAACCCTTCTAGGGTTTGCTATTTGTATCCTCATTCTTGCTAGTGCAACCCTCCTTCTTAATTCCTCTTAAACTTTCACATGCTATCAGAGCAGGTCGATCCCCTTGGATCGATCCTGTGGGTGGGCTCACCACCTCGTTGCTTCCGCTGCAACTTCCACTACTACCTTCTGTGCCGCACGCCCCGTGGCGTGCGGCAGTTTTTCTTCCCGCCGTGCGCCCCGAGGCGCGCGGCAGTTTTCTGCCCGCCGTGCGCCCCGTGGCGCGCGGCGGTTCTCTGCCCGCTGTGCGCCCCGAGGCGCGCGGCGGGCTTCTACCCCGTCACTCGCCGCGTCGCCCTCGGGAGGCGCTGCGACGGGCGACGGGGACCCGCGCGTCGCCCCCCGTCGCCCGTCGTGGCCTGCGCGCGGCCCGTACAGCCAGCGCGCGGCCCGTACGGGCTGCGCCAGGCCTGCGCGCGGCCCGTACGGGCTGCGCCAGACCCGCGCGCGGCCCGTACGGGCTGCGCCAGACCCGCGCGCGGCCCGTACGGGCTGCGCCAGGCCCGCGCGCGGCCCGTACGGGCTGCGCCAGGCCCGCGCGCGGCTCGGGCCGCCTGCGCGCGGTTCGGGAGGCTGTGCCAGGCCCGTGGGCGGCCCTTTCCTCGCTGCCCCTGCCCTCCCCGCTGTCCCCCGTGCTTCTGCTGGCGCCCCACCCCTCCTACAGCCCGTTCTCCTGAATTAGGGTTTGGGGGTGAGGGGTATGGGGGTGAAACTACTGTGTGCCGTTCCCTGCTCCTCCTCCTCCTCCGTCTCCCTGTGCTGCAGCTGCCGCTGAGGGGGGGTGGACTTGTTGGAGCCGTTGGAGTGGTGCTAAGGGGGGGTGAAGGGGGAGTGGAGCTAGCGGTGTAGCAGCGGGTGTGTGTCAGGAGGGGTGGTACTGTTTGGGGGAGGTCGAGTGGAGGCAGCAGTCTTGTCGTCAGCAGCAGCAGCAGTCCGGAGGCTACAATCTCCGGTAGTCGCCAGTCGCCCGTGGGTCCGTTGCTCGTCTGCCGCTACTTTTAGCCGCGGGGCCAGTTACCCCAGTAGTCCGGAGCGTTGTTCCGGTAGCCACTGAGCCAGCAGCTCGTCTGTGTGTCTGCAGCGTCAGCAGTCGCCTCCCATCTTCTCTCCCCCACAGTCTCTCCTCCTCCTCACTTGCCCTCTGCGATAGCCTCTAGCTTTGCTCATAATTGTGAACTTTAAACTATTGCTTCTTGAACTTGTGCTCAGAATGTGTGGTGACATTGTGATCCACCCTGAGCTTGTACTGCTTTGCTTGCTCTGCTGATTACACCCCACTTTGGCTATGGGGGTGTGTCAGAATATTATGCTCTAGCCTGTAGTGGGGTGCTCTATAGCGAGTACAACCCTTCTAGGGTTTGCTATTTGTATCCTCATTCTTGCTAGTGCAACCCTCCTTCTTCTTAATTCCTCTTAAACTTTCACAGTTCCTTGGCCAGTTCCGCTCACCATCGACACCCCTTTGATAGTAGAGACGTGGGGGTGTCTCGGCGGTCGTTTTGGGCGGTGGCTTCGTCAGCAGGGGGATGCGCACGTGGGGCTAGCTGTGTCGCGGGGGGCTTGTAGGGAGGACGACTCTGTGTTTTCAGCTTATCTTTTAGGGTCAATGAAGGCGCTCATCGGGGTGGCGTTGCAACGTGCGCAAGCCCGTGTCATCCTGCTTCGAGCAGCGTCTTCCATGTGGGGGATTAACGTAGATTTGGTGGACCGGGAGAGGGACGATATCGATGTAGAAGGCGGGGCTCTCTGGGTGGAGGCCCCGTACATGGTCGATACGCTGTTGTGATTGGGGGGGGGAGGGGGGGGGGGGGGAGGGGAATGGGGTGTGGGATGGGATGTCTTGATGGGGTGTCTTGATTGGGCGTTTTGATTGGGTATCTTGAGGGGGGGGTTTTATGTGTGTTGCATTTGGGTTCTTCTTGGCAGTTTCACTTTCCTTCTCCCTTTCTTTCTTCGTTTCCTTTCTCCTTCATTTATGTCTTTCTTTCCCTTCTTCTCCTCTTTCTATCTAGGACCATGAGAGATTCATGTTTGTAATTTTCAATCGACACGCTGTTGATGACATCTGGCATCGAGAATTGCTCCTTCCTCGCATCAGATATCAGCGTTTTGAAGATGTACTTTTATTGAACAGAAATACGATGCAGTATACATTCTTTTTGTACATTGAAAGTATACATCACAGAACATAATGCACACTACTCAATAGCGGTCGTAACCGTGCGCGAGCGAGCAGAGGCTGTCTGCTCAGCAAGGGACCTAGGGTGGGTTGTACATGTTAACGGGAATGGAGTGTTGGCCCCGCCCTCGCTTGGGCAATGCTGACGACTTGGTCGGATGTACGGGAGTAGCAGCCGACCGTTCACAGTGGGAGAGCTGATCGACAGGCTTCGTCGAGCTGCAAGGGACCGCTGTGGTGTTGCTGTCGACCAGGGAGCTCGACAGTTGCAACTGATTGGTCTGGGCGACAGGTGGGACGTCGACCAGGACCTGCAGCTCGACCGGGAGGTCTCCGGAGAATCCCGTCGACCTGCCGTTCGACCGGGAGGTCTCCGGAGCATCCCGTCGACCTACGGTTCGACCGGGAGGTCGATGGAGCAGTCCGTCGACCTGACAAGTGAGCAGCGGTCGACGAGGGGAGCTTGGCGACAACCGCTGACGGTTCTGGTCGACGGAAGGGGTCCGTCGACCAGGGGGTAGCTCGACGGGAGTTGTGGTCGACCAGAGGGACCTGGTGGTCGACCAGAAGCAGTGGTGGTCGACCGGGTCGACCGGGTAACCTGCTCGACGAGTTCTGTGGTGGCACGCGAACGTCGTCGAGGTCGCGATGGCGAAGGCGACTGCGGGCTGGTATCCTGAGGTCGATGTGGCTCGTCAGGCGTAGACAACAGCCGACGGATGCCCAACGAGGCAAGTCGGGCCAATTGTCTGCGCGCACCTGCGAGCGTGCGCACTGCTGTGTTCTACGGAGCAACACTGGACAGCCGCCCTGCTGCAGCGTTGGCACGCCGTCGACCTGCTCTGTTGGCAGGTCGCCTTTCCGCAGTGCTGGCGCGGCTCCTCTACGCAACGCTGGCAGGCGGTCGACCGAGCTGTGCTGGTGGTCGACCAGGCTAGCTGCAGGGTTGCTAGGTGCCTGATGTAGTCATTCTGTCATTGCTTGTTCAATCATTATGTAATTTCGACTTTGCCTAGTGGAAACTCTTGCCGATTTCTCTCGTGAATGTGCAAGCACTAAGGAACTAAGCAAAGCTATGATCACTCCTAGTAGTTCGTGCCAACCCCCGTCGTCTAGCTCAATACCGTTGTAGGGTGTCTCTCCGCATGGTGCGGTGAGCGTGGAGCGAACACGCGACCTTCAGATAGGAGTCGACTTTTGCACCTACTAAGTCGTTCGTAGGCTGGCAGCAGCGATGGTCGCCATGGTCGACCCCGTAGTTGATGCGGGCGTAGCGGACACCTTGGAGCCTCGCTTGGCTGATGCGAGGAGACGCCACGCGGATGGTGAGTACGGGACGATCCCCTTGCTGATCGTCGAGTTGGGCATCCGGTCGCAGTGGGCGACGCAACACCCTTCCCGTCCTGCATATCCTTGACCGGTGCGCAACGAAGGTGGCGTCGACGACGAGGTCGACGGTGGTGCACGAGTCAGCGGCAGCAAAGGCACGAGGCAGAGAGGGGTGATCAAGGTCGACGGTGGTGTCGACGGAATCCAGGCGCGAGTGCAGCGGTCGACGGCGGCTGCAGGAAGCTTGCGTGCCGACGTCGATGCTCGACGTCGCTCTCCTCTACGAAGCGG